TGTGCGAATAAGCCCATGTCTGGGCGAATAAGCCCGAAGTAAACAGCCTAAAATGGTTGTGCGAATAAGCCCATTTATTGGGTAAGCTCATTAAGCCACAAGTAAACAGGCCCTAAAAGACTTGTATCACCGTACAAGTACCAAAAGTCAAAGGATGAAACAATGAGGAACCAAGAAGACCATAAGAGAGTCAAAGGGTTAAATAGTCATTTGGTCCACAACCTCAAAGGAAGTTTTCTTGAAATCAAGATTTGCAAACAACAAAAGCATGGAAATTTCTTCTGAAACATCAAACAATGTCGTTATGTTGAACTTTTAAATAGATTTAAAATCATAATACTGTTTCTTTTTTTATCGTATTTTCACAAACCAAAGTCAAAGGTAAACTCACCAATCAGAATATCGAGCGTGTATGCTGCATATTCTACTGATGCGTGACCTGATCACCCAAATCAGGATTCAGTATTAGTTCCATAGATAGACTAGGCCTAAGCCGATTATTCTAAAATCCTAATCTAAGGGGGCGTTTACTATACGCTTACCTGGTAAGTGTTTATCAGGTAACTTTCCTTACTGGATGAATAACGCAAGCATCAAAAATCTTACCCGGTAAGAACAACGATAAAAATAGAGAGTCTTACTCGGTAAATAAAGGTGACGACTTTTACCTGGGTAAGTGTTTACAGGCTAAATTGTTACATATCATACCATTTTGATGTACTATAATCTTACTCGGTAAAATAAATTATCTTTTCCCAAAAAAAATAAAAAAATAAATTATCATGTTGGCTCCTAAGGGTAAGCACTTACCGGATAATCATTTAGATAAACGGCCCCTAAATATACATCACTCCATTTGGGTAGCATCGGGTCTCTTAGTAATATTTATAAGATTTATTTTCGTAAACTTCAAATCAACTTAATCTTTCTCTTATAAATATCAACTAGAAGGGTACCCGTACAATGCAGCGAGATATATCTCGATTTTTAATGTTTCGTTTATTCCATCCCTGTAGATGTTTTAACACGGTTTTTATGTGGTTATGAGAAATACATAATGTTTTTATTTTTGAATAAAATATAAATATTAACATATCATAGAATTTCGAAAATAAATATATCAATATTAACATCAAATTAACTATTTTTAATTTGTTTTTTTTTTTTTTGTAATTTCCTTTAATTCAATTTATTATTATTATTTAATTTAAATAATAATGAAGTAATTCATGTTTAATTTTATAATATATTTTTTAATAAGAATAATAATTAAGTATTTTGTTAGAACTCATGATTATTTTAATTATTTTATAGATTTTTTATATTAAAAATAAAATATTTATCTTGTATTTGATTATGTTTATCTGCAATTAGTTATACGAATTCAAATATGAAGCTTTAATAAGTTGTACTTACACACAGTTTATTTGTAATCTTGAATTTTAAGTAATATGCATCAATAAATAGTACTTTATGCATAAAAAATGGTTTTTAAGAGTTTCTGTCAAATGTTTTATAATATAGTATAAATATTTAAATATCAATAATAGAGGAAGATAAAAAAAAAGGATCAATAAACTCGGTCATCATCCAAAAACAATTTTTCAAACAATTCTTAAGTTCGATCTGTCAAATGAATCATATATTAACGATTACAAACTTTATCTGTCTTAACAAAAACGATTTTTCACATATAATTTCCGATATTATTTATATTCTCATCCCATTTTCTTTTAGATTTGATTTAACATTATTATAAGTTTTTTTAATGCATTTTTACATTTTTTTATAATTATTGAAAGACTTGTTTTAATAAATGAAGTATAATAATCTGACTTTTTCTAATTATTTATCTTATGACAAGTTATACGAAAAAATACTGTATTTTAACTTGATTCTTATTTTGAGTAACGTAATTTTAAAACTTTCATTTTGGTACCTAAGATGTAAAGTTTTAAACATTTAAATACTTAGATAACCAGTTGAAGTACTAATCGGTTATCGTGCTAATGTGACGAGTGATGTAGTATCCAACTGAGTATTATTTGCTATTCAACCCAATTTCATCTCACCACTCGCCACATCAACATGGTAACCGGTTAATACTTCAACAGGTTACCCGGATACTTAATAAATGTTTAAAACTTTATATCTTAGATATCAAAATATAAATTTTAAAAATAAATTATATAAAATAAAAATCAAATTAAATTACATTACTTTTTTATTTAATTTATCCTTTATCCCGAATAGAGGTGGCCAAAATTCGGTCCCGGGCCGGGCCTTAACCGGTCCCTACCGGGCCTAAT